GTTGCTCTGGCTCAGGGTGATGCAGGACAGAATAATCAAAAATTAAAAATAAATCTGAAATTTGCACATAAAATCCAGCTAAGAATTAGGACAGGGAATGCATTTCCTTTTAAATGCCCTGCTAGCAACCACCTCTCCAAAGGAGAACATTGCCTGCAGTAAGAATGTCTCTGAAATTTCTAGGAGTCCTCCTAGCCAGTGTGCGCCTTAGAGTCACTGTCCCCCTTTCTCCCAAGGTTGGCAGAATAAATGTCAAAAATGCTTTCCATGCACTGACCACCGCTGAAATGCAGCACCTTTGACAAAATTACACACGGCCACATCCTAATTTTGCTGATCCTGGTCTCAATTTACACAGGTGGAACATGAATGGCTGGATCTGAAGGTCACTGCAGTGCTGGCTGTGTTAGGATGTACCCATTATCTCTGCTTCAGCACACGATCTCTGAACAAAACAGTTTCTCCTCCAGCCCAGAGCAAAACAAAAAGAGCAAAGCTGGAATATACACCACTGGGAGGAAAAAGAACCTGCTCTCATCACCATGGACAAAAACCTACTGAAAAACAACCTACTGAAGCATTTTTCCTCAGCTTCCTCTTTCCCAAAACACAGCACGGGAAAGGGGAGGGGAAAAAAAACAAACCCAACACACCAAACCAAAACCAAAAAGCAGACATAAGCACCTGGGATGCAGTTCATCGGCAGATCTCCTTCCCCACTGCAGCCCGCGAGTGGCAGAAACAGAGGCGAACAAAGTCCCAGCCGGCATTGGCGAGAGGTTATTCCCCATCCTCCTGCATTGTGCAAAATGGGGAGGCTCCTGCCTGCCGGCACCCCTCACCTGCCCCAGGTATCTGGGCGGTGCTGGGTTGGCTGCCCGCGCCCTCTCCGACTGAACCTCTCCCTTCCCGCAGCCCTCCTGACTCACACATGGCACCAGGCTCGGCTGGGGCTCACTCCCCCAGCTGCCTCTTTGCTGGAGGAACAGCCCCCAGCAAACTTCAGGCTGGGAGAGACTGGGACTTCTCTGGGAAACTGGGAGCCTTGCCCAGAGATTAAGCAGTCAGGTAAAGCTCTCCCAGTGGGGATCAGCTCACCCCACTCCCACCCACTGTTGCCGGCAGGAGCAAGGCGACACAGCTCTGGAGTAAAAAACAGGGCTGAACTCGCACTATCTGCAGGGATCTCTGTTGTCCTGTATTTGCTGCCTGAACTTAAAACACCTCAGCAGGCACACTGCTCCTGTTGCCTCCGGGCCAAGGACAGAGAAAGTCCCAGAGACCCCTCTAAGATGGTGCCAAAGTGTTTCTCTTCTCAGGGGGAAAGCAGGTCGGAAAGCAGGTCATTGGGGCACGGTGGGGCCAGGCAGTGGCTGGATGACATCCACCATGCTGGCATCCCTTCCAGTGCCCTGGCACGCAGCCACCAAGCTCTGCTGGCAGCATATGCCCCAAAACAGATTGCTTCCTCTTTCTTTGCCCTAATCAAGGGAGGAGGAAAACCTGAGTGGGAAAGGAAGGAAGAGAGAAGGTGCCTCTCTCGTAGAGACTCCCAAGCACTGAGGCAAGGACTGGAGCCAGGCTGGGATGTTGCTCTTGCAGCTGCCTGCCCAAGATGGTAGGTTAGCCTGCACTGAACCCTCTGGTCCCCCTGGATAGGACTTAGCTTCCCAAGGGTAAGGAAAAACAGGTACACAAAGCAGTATCCTCGAGCAAGATGTCTCCCTCTCCAGGCAGCAGGGAAACTGCAGAGCGAGCACCCAGCAAGGATTTTCTCCTTCCAGCACATCCCATGCAAAAAACTCCTGTTTGTCCACTGGGAGTCAAAAGTAGCTTGAAATCCAGGCAGGAATCAAGCTGGAATCTGGATGGGAAGTGCAAGGGGCTGCCATCATCAATGCCCAGCCCTCCATGACATGGAAAGCCCAAGCCTCTCTCCAAGGCAAGGGTCTGCAGCCCAGCATGACATGATGATTTCAGGCCATGCAGTGCATTTTCCCCAGGGCTGCACTTTGGAAGGCACAGTGGAGCAAGAAGAGCGGACATCCCTCCAACTTCAGCTTTGTCTCCAGATGGCTCTCCCACTTAGTGCCAAGAGAAATGAAAAACAATGCAAGCCCTGGAGTCCTGGGTCAATCACTGCAAAACTGTTCATCTCAGAGCTGTATTACCCTGTCTTTGCCACTTGAATTGCCACTGTGCTCTCCAGAAGCTCAGTAGACCAGTCTTCTCCTTCCAGTTGAAATTCTTTCATTAATTAACTCTTCAATAGTCTCCCTCCAAAAAAAAAAAAATTCATACCACGAGCTATCAAAATCCTCTCTGACCATGCCATAAATAGGGTTTTTTATGTGGTTTTCCTCTGCCCAACCTCCCCTGATGCAGACTTTTCCAATGAAATGGGAAATCAGAGAGAAGAAAGAAAAAACTCATAGGCAGAAGATAAAATGAGGAAAGGAGACAAAAATATCAGTTTTGCCCTCTTAGTACAGTTAAAAAAAGAATCGCATAAAAATTGAAGGCATGGAAGTGAGTTTCAAAAAGTGAGACAAAACCACAAAATTGTCCACAGGACACCTTTTACAGGACTATCTGGCACTGCTTATCATTTCCTTGCACCTCTTCATGGCAATGAAAGCAATAGAGTTCTTACTTGTGTAAGAGGGAAGTAGGGGTAAATATATATGAAGAAAGAAATTGATAAAAACGATAAAAAAGATAAAGGTGTCTAGAGAAAAGAAAAACTGTACTTCCCTGCTGTTGAACCCAGTACGGTCTCTCCTTGGGGAGCAGGGCTCTGAACTCCATTACACTTTTCTTGGTTTTATAGGTAAAACGTTTCCAACACAGTTAAACACTAACTATTATTTCAGGAGACCACCATGGCATTGCTGACAAGCAGGAGTCACAGGATGGCCTATGTCAACTTCCTAAACCAGGCAAACCCCTGGCACTGAGAACCCAGCATGCAGAGTCACTCCAGCTTGGCTGAATCAGGCCCATAATCAGCAAGCAAGACCATAACATCTTCATAAAGTAGGATTTAAGTACAAACATCTGCCCTGCCGTTTTTTAATTAAGGGAGTTTATGGGTAGGTATTCGTTTCCGTAATCCACGTCTCCAGCTGCAGAAGTGCCATACGTATTCTAATTATGGCAGCTAGTTTATTTAACAGAGTTTGACATTGTTTGACATTTAGCTGAGTCACCTTGTTCCCGGGTAAAGCAACAAGGGCTGCTCTGCAGTTCAACAAGAAAGAGGCAGAGATTCGATATCAAAAGTAGAACATATATCACAGAAATTTTAAATTAAACACAGCTGAGGTCTATTCTCTTCTGGCAGCTTCTCTTTCTTTGGGACAGTAAGTCAACCCAAATGATTTCCAGATATAACTCTTCCCCTCAAGGACATGTGGCAGTACCATCTCCCTCATGTTCCTGGAGGGTGGGAAGGGTAGGAAGTGTTGTAATGGGCATATGGGGTTTATCTCACCCTTCCCAAATATCACGCACACGTATATGAGGACACCCATCAGTCAGATCTGCACAAAGACTGAGCAGCAGACAGTCACCTGCGGTCAGCCAACATTTTTCTAGAATGTAATAAAACAAATGGGCCACTGGCAGTCAATACTGGAGGAATAACTGCTACCTGCAGACAGAGATTTTGCTACAGCATCTTGCATGAAGCCATCTGCACTCCTTTACAGTGCTTTCAAGGATCTCAAAATGCTTTCCAGCAAGAAAGGCAGGCCAGCAGTATCCATTCTTATCACACAGAGGTTTCACAAAATGACTTGTCTATGAGTTTATTGGTGACACAGCTGGAAAGAGTCTACTCTTGGAATACTCTCCTCATCCCAGGTTGGAAATGGAGGGCAACACCACCTTCCCCTGGCTGTAGAGGGTTAGGATGCAGAGAACACTGCAGAGAGGAAACCCCGATCCTGGGACTGCCTTCCACGAGGTCGACGGAGGCTGCCAGGCGGCTGTTCTGCCCTGCTGCAGCTACGATGCTTCTGTCATGTATTTGTGCTGCTGGTTTCCAAGTCCCTGCTTCCCTACTAGTCCTGGAGCTGTGCTCACAACACATCTGGAGTAGCTGCTTTGCCTGCAAACAGCACTGGGGATCGCAGAACGCTCCTGGAGAGGACTAAGCCCTTTTATCCCAGCTTCTCTTCACAGACCTTAAGGGAAGAGCTTTTTTATAGCTAAAGACAGAATAGACCTTTTAACAGGCTGAAAATACTCCATGTATCCTGGCAGGCAGTGCAGCAAGCCAAACTTTAAGCCAACAGCCAGAATCGTGCAGTCAGACAATGGAGAGCTGGCCAGAGCGTGCACTTCCAAGAGCACGCTGCGGTCTGGCTCCTCTCCTCATGCTATCCCTGCAGCCACTGCTGGAAGAAGCTGTGTAGAAGTGTGTGCTGTTACCCTGAGGACAGGATATCCAGCACGTCCAGGCCCTCTCCGAAAGCTGTCAAAGGGACAGTGGCTCAGACCAAAAAGATATTTACTTATCTTTTTGGCCAGCATTGCAGAAATCCCTAACCTTCCTTCAGTTTCCTTTGTAACCCAGTGGCAACTCTAATTATTCATTCCTTATTACACAATAACAGTGTCTGCAGAGCCACAGAATCCAGAAATGACAAAGACTGACTCTCGTCTTCAGTGGCCTCCCAATTAGTGGCCTGAGCTTGGGCTGCCTGTTTGCGCCCCACAGACACAGCCTCCCAGAAGACATCAAATCCCTTTGTGGGGCAGGGCACAAGCCAACCTGAATCTGAACAGCTGATGTAAGATCTCCTGGGAGCCCCAAACACCGTGCCAGTTATTTTAGAAGGAGGTGGAGGTCTGGTATCACAAGACTGGATGTGCGAGCTCCCAGGGAAAAGGCATTTATAAGAGCGGTCACAAAAAGCACTAGAGACAGTAGCTGGGGAACTGCAGTCACCAACTGCTCTCACCTATCTTATTTAGGGCTTTCCCCACAGCATTACCTGGTAGAAAAGGAATGATTCTTTGCTTGGGGTCTTTCTGGCCTCCTTCAATAGGGAACTTGTCCAGAAGCTGCATCTGCAAAGGAAGCACAACAAACATCTTAGGGGGGAAAACATGGACTGGCTGCATAGGGATGAGGAGAACTCTTGGTTTGTGTGTGGTTTAAAACAAAAGCGACTGCAGGAATTACTCTGCCTCATTGCAGGGGAGCCTATACATAAAAAGGTATGAAACAGTTCACTCCAAGAAAGGGAGGGCAAGTTTTTGGCAGCACAGAGGAGCTGGGACAGGGCCCAGGCTGACATCTGAGCCTGGCCTTGCTGATGTTCTAAAATTAGGCTCCCATTCTTTGTTACAAAACACATGCCTTGTCTCTATCCACAGACTGCCTGTGCTGGTGGAGACACAGGTTTTACCTGACCATGTGACAGACCACCTGCCCGGCTAAAAATGCTGTTCAGGCAACCAGATTAAAGTGTATTTAATAAAACACCTGCTCTGCTTTTCTGGCAAGACACTGCCCATTGCCTTGGTCCAGCATGAAAGAGCGCTCCTGTTTTCCCAGGGAGACAGAGATGGAGTTTTGGGGAATATCTTCCACGGCAGTCCCTACATGGGGGACAGCAACAGAGAATAGACAGCAGGGAGGGAGGCCTCAGAGAGCAGAGCATCCCAGAGAAGAGCAGCCCCACGAATGGCCAGAAAGCACAGCTCAAGGTGAGTGTGCTCTCAGCCCATGACAAGCACCCTTCAGCACATGGTTATGGAGCACCTGAGCCAGAGTTTCGCCCACATCAGCTAAGATCCTGCACTACCACCTTCCAAATCCAGCCCACCACAACCACCTGTTTCTAACGTACCCCTAAGAGCTGTCCAGGCTCAGGATCCTGTTTTACTGCAGAGCTGCAGCCAGCTTTCAACCTGAGGAGCTCAAAGGGGTATTGATGGCTATTACCTAGTGTGCATGCTGGAGCAGACAGCTGACCACCAGTGACTTCCTAGAGAAACAAACCTAGGAAAGGTGCATACTGATCTGACATTCCTAAATGAGCCCTACAATATCTTTTTGGGTGATGAGACTGGAGGGACTAGTGCCACTGAGGGACCAGCTGAAAGGCCAGGCACAACCTCAGACTGCAGATGTACCTGCTACAATGGCATTTTCATGGACCTGCCCAAAAGACACCAACTCCAGCCCTGAAAAATGCCCCCCCTATTCACCCTCTGCAATCTTTTGCTTTCATTTAGCACATGGTGCTACCAAGATAAGTACCCAAATTTTGACATTCTATTTCACTTCCCCCACATGTCAGATGTATGATGCAATGCCCTATGCCCCCTCCCTACACAGAAGCCCCAGCTCCCTTGGACAGGGGTAACTCCAAAGCTCCCCCCAGCCCTGGGGCTCCTTCCCAACAGACCAGGAGAGATGTCTTTCAATGCACAGTCCACAGCCCCTGTGGCCTCTGAAGAAGGTAAGGAAAGAAAAGGAAGCAGTCATCTTACTTGCCCTTGCAGAACCCCTATCTCCTCCCTTGAACTGGATCTACAGGTCAACAGAAATACCCAAAGTGGCAGCAAAAGCTGGGAGAGGCGGAGGGGGATGCTCATCAACCAGCATTTAATCTCATCAGTGCTATATGTCCAACAGCGAGGATGTGCGTGTTAACAGTGGTTTTGCTAGCTCGACAGATTTCCTTCTAAAAATATTTTTTTGCTAACTTGGGGAAAAAGCAGCCAGAATATTTTTTTATTATTATTTTTTACTGGTTTTGTTTTAAGCACACAGAATCCTTTTCCTCTTGCACCGCACAGAACATCTCCAGAGTTTTCACCATATGGCACAGCAAACCGAAGATCAAGAGCAAACTCGGGAGCAGAAGAAACATCTGTGCGGGAGAAGTAGTTAAAAGATCCCACATGTTTCCCCATCAGGGAGTCAGCCTGGTAAATAAATAGACCATAGCTTTGCGGATTGCTAGCTAACTCACTTTTCTGCCTACAGAGACATGTTTTTTATTGAAAATGGGAAATTTTGTTTTCTTGTAGGTAGAGCTCTGGGTGTCTGAGGTCAGGCACGGGTAGGAGTTTTGTTCAAAGAAGGAAAAAAAAAAAAAAGGAGGGGGAGGGAATCCCCACCAACTGACTTGAAGTTTCACTGTTGTTACACTTTTAGCCAGGAAGGCAATTCTCACTTTACTACAGGGTGACTGATTCAAGCTGGAACCAATACAGTCAAATTCCCATGGTTATTCTTGGAGTTAGATTAGCTTGGCTAATACAAGCCTTTTTAACCACATCAAGAGACTCACAACATGTATAACTGAGTGCTATTTATCTAAAGGGTGGATATCAGCAAAATAGATACAATAAACTGCAGCTGGAAGAGTTTGGCTAAACTTGCCTAGACTACACTTTCCACCCCAGCTCTTGCCCCCATTGGGAGGGTCTGGATGGCAGGGAGCTGGGGGAGACAGAGGCACTAAGGAGGCCATCAACACAATTCAGCCTGTCCCAATGAAAAGTCCCCAAGAAGTATAGAAGATTTCTCATCTTCTTCAACATATGAGGCAATATCCCAGTGGGAAACATGTACATGTTTGTGCAAAACTGAAGGTGAGGCATAAAGTTGCTGCTCCTTTAAAAATCCACACAAGGATGGGCACCCACAGAAAAGGGTGAGGTTGGGCATCCATGGAGCAGTTTAATGGTCCCTCTGAAAATCCCTGACCACAGACCACTTGCTGCTGGCTTGTAGAATGGTCTCTGGACCAATGAGTTGGGTCTGGAATTTGTGCTGCACAGGGAGACAGGCTGCTGATGGGCAGCTGCACAGGACATTCAGGAGGAAACTACTGGCTGAATCTCTGGGAAGACATGGGAAACACAACAGATCTAAAAGAACCCGAGCAAGGATGTAACAGCAGCCCAGCAATAATGCCCTTGCCTCTCTGCCCAACTGCCCTCATAAATGCCTCAAAAAACACTCCTGGTATGGCAACGTCCATACAGATGAGTATGAACAGCATGGAGAACCTGCCACACAGACTGGAATGCAATGGCTGCCCCTCAGTTCTATCATGCTAGAAATCCTTCAGGATGTTACAGCCAAAGGAAACGCATCAGAAGCACAGAGCCTTCCTCAGCACTTCCCTGCACCCAGTTCTGGCATTCAAAGCCAATGAAATCTAGAGTTAAAATCCTAGGAAAGGATTCTGTATCCTCCCACCCACAGAGAAGGATTCAAAGTGGAAGACGAGGAAGAGATGGATTCGGGGAAAAAAACCCAAAAAACAGATCAATGGACCTGAATGAAATATCCCAAATCTCCAGAGGTGATGGGGGGTCCTGAGCCAATGTCCACTCAGATTAGTTCTTATGATTATAACACAAAGACTAAGAAACAGATTTTCAGTTCACTTAATTAGATGTCTGCAGAGCATTTGAAAGTCAAGAACTCTTTTGTCTGTGACAAATGTTTTTCCATTAAAGGAAATGATTCTTGTTATTATTGCAAATACACATATGATTGATGAAAAAAACCCTTCACTTAACGCCCCAGGTTATTCTGCTTAGATATGGGCAGTTTCCACAAGTTGTTGCTCGCATCTTTGATATATGACAGTAAACTTAGAGGCAAAGTCTGCTGAATGAGAATAGTTCTGTCACACGGAGTAAAACCATCCCAGCATGAAGGCAAACAGAAGACCGGATGCAGAGTTCCAAAAGACTGAATTAGGGCTGTACCTGGCTTTGGGCAGGCAAGAAAATGCATTTTGGCAAACCTGGAGGAGCTCAGTTCATCTGCTTACAACTGTTAATATGTGAATCTCACCATGGAGGAGCCTCCAATTGCATGACTAGTGTGAAGAGCAGGAAAGAAACCTGTTACCATGTCCCTGTATCACAGGGTGGAGGATCCGTCTGGAAACAGGGAGGGTATATGGAAACCGGGAAGTGAGCTTCCCATACATTCAGCCAGCATGTCTGGAGTCAGGCTGAACAAACACATCCCACTCCTGCTTCTGGCACAACAGATGCCTGTCCACAAATAACTCACCATGAAAATCACCTCTCCAGGCTTTATCTCTTTGAGCTTCTCTGCGTTTGCCAACAGCTTTCCTACCTAAGTCCTGCACAGAGTCCTGTCTTCTGCTCCAAGCAGTTTCCTTCTTGCTTCCGAACTAAACTCATTTAGAAGACCTGCTATAAACCTTGTGGTCCAGATTATGACTTTTTTACAGCAGTCAGCAAATGATTGGTGCAGTTAATCAATTAAAAATCAAGGGAATTACTCACGTGAGTTGCTGCTTATTAAAATGAGAGCAGACTCAGAGCACTGGCCCTCTCCACTCCTTTCTATTTGCCCATAATCATGACATTACTGGACTTGCACAAATGAAATAGGAAGATTTCAAGGGATCAACTCAGCCACTTCCCTGTGCGTCTTCCTTCTCATCCCTCCTGCTGCAGGCCACCTCCCCAAGAACGCCAATACGCTGTGAAGAAAGGGACGCTCCTGCTCATAAGAAGTGTTTGGGCCCAGCGATTGCCAGCTGGTGGCACCTGTGGTCACTTCACATCAGTTCTGCTGTGAAAATAGGATTCCACCCCGTCAGCCTTGTAATGGTAACACCTGGTTAAAAATCTTAACAAAGAGTGACAACCACCCTTTGGGATGCTACAAGTAGCATCTCTGAGGATAAGAAGCCAAGCATCTCCTTGATAATTATTTACTTATTAAATTTTACTTATCTTGGTTAAATTTCCATAAAACAACATTTCTTTATGTCGTAGATATAAGGACTTACAACATCTGACACTAAGGGTGACTTCTCTTTAGCAGAAGAGGCTTTTACTCTGCTACAAATGAACCAGTGCAGGGGACATGAACATATAAACTACTCAGTGGCTTGACCCTGTGGCATTTGCCAGCAGGAACTTTGTTCCTCATTTGGTCTTGAGGTTTTGGAAGTTTGTAGCCAAATCCAACTCCCTGAAATTAATCCACTGAGACAGTTACCTGACTTCCATGTATGCCTTACACCACAGACTCTAGCTGGGTCCCTGCTGGG